TAAAACCAAAAAAGGATTCTATCAAAGGGGTGGGAAAATTTGCAGTGTTTGCCCATCTGTCCTGCCCCCATTCAATCTGGCATGGCACAACCAGGAAGAAACCTCCCACACCAGGGATCCTCCCTTGGAAGAGAGACAGAAGAGTGGGCCTTGTGTCCAACATTCTGGCTTGTCTGGGGGCTGCTCAAGGGACTGGTTTCTGTCTTGCCTAACTCAGAACACTGATGCAACATGCAGCATTGTTTGGAAACTGCTGAAAAGGGGGAGTAATATTGACAAGATGGCAAGCTAGGAAGTTTCAGACCCTCACTTTCCCCCAGAACCACAAAGATAGCAATATACAAACCAGCATACCTTTGCAAGAACTCTACAGGCCTGTTGAGAAGCTACAGCACCCAAACCAAGCTAAAACCAAGAAGGAATTCCAGCAAAAGGGATAGAAAAACTTGCAGCATTTTGCACATATATCCATGCCTCTCCTCCTATTTGGCTTAGTGCAGCACAGCTTGAAGGAAACTTCCCACACCGAGGAGTCTCCCTCAGGACAGAAACAAAAGAGCTAACAGTGCATCCAGTGTTCTGGCCAGACCAGGGGCTGCCTGACAGACTGGAATCTGTCTCACTTGACTCAAAGCACTGATGGAACTGGCAGCCTTGTTTGGAAACTGCTGAAAACAGATATGATCACTACAGCATGTTAAAATTGCAGTTCTGCAGGCAGATGCCAGCGGCGGCAAGAGCTTATGGGCTTCTGAGAAGAAGCAGGGATAAGCAGTTTAGGGAATTTGAGACAACTAAAAGCACAGAACAAGCCAGAGAAGACACATCCTCAGAAAGGATTTCAGAGGTCCTAGAATCTCTAACTGGGCAGATTGGTAAAGGTCTGCATAAAGCCAGTCCATAAAAACTGGAAATGTGGTTGCTTTATCTGATGCCCAAGTCTCAAAACAACAACAGCAACATCAGAAGGCATGCAAAGAAACAGGCATACATGATCCAATCAAAGGAACAAAATAAAACTCCAGAAAATGACCTTAAAGAAATGCAGATCTATGAGATGCCTGATAAAGAATTGAAAACCACTGTCATAAAGGTGCTCAATGAGTCAGAGAAGAACACAGATAACTAAGTGAAATCAGGAAAATAATGCATGGACAAAATGAGAATATCACAAAGAGATAGAAATCATTTGAAAAGGTCAAACAGAAATTCCGGAACTGAAAAATACAATAACTGAACTGAAAAGCTCACTAGACAAGTTTAACAGCAGACTAGATCAAGCAGAAGAAAGAATCAGCAAATTGAAGAGAGGTTATTTGAAATCATCAAGTCAGAGGAGCAAAAAGAAAAAAGAATGAAGAAAAGTGAAGAGAACCTCAGGAATTTACAGATACTATCAAATGGGCCTACATATGCAATTATGGGAGTCCCAGAAGGTGAAGAGAGAGAGAGAAAGGGACACAGAGCTTATTTAAAGAAATAATGGTCAAACACTTCTCAAATTTGAGGGGGAAAATGGACATACACATTAAAGAAATTCCAATCAGAATAAGTCCAAAGAGACCAACACTGAGACACATTATAATCAAACTGTCAAAAGTCAGAGACAGGATCTTGTAAGCAGCAAGAGAAAAGTGACTTTGTCACATACAAGGGAACTTTCATAAAATTATCAGTGGATTTCTCAGCAGAAGCAGTGCAAGCCAGGAGGGAGTGGGATGATATATTCAAAGTGCTGAAAGGGAAAAAAAACACAAAAAACTGTCAATCAAGAATACTGTAGGGCTTCCCTGGTGGCGCAGTGGTTGAGAGTCCACCTGCTGATGCAGGGGACACAGGTTCGTGCCCCGGTCTGGGAGGATCCCACATGCCGCGGAGCGGCTGGGCCCGTGAGCCATGGCCACTGAGCCTGTGTGTCCAGAGCCTGTGCTCCACAACGGGAGAGGCCACAACAGTGAGAGGCCCACGTACTGCAAAAAAAAAAAAAAAAAAGAATACTGTATTTGGTAAACTGTCATTCCAAAATGAAGGGGAAATTAAGATTTTTCCCAGGTAAACTAAAGCTGAAGGAGTTCATTACAACTATACTTGCTCTGCAAAAAAACTGCTGAAAAGAGTCCTTCAAGACAAAACTAAAGGATGCTAGATAGCAACATGAAGTCACATGAAAATAAAAAGTTTTGCAGTAATATAAAAACATGGACAAATACAGTAACTTGTATTAATGTTATTTTGGTGCGTAAGTTCACTTTTAATTCTTGTATAGGATTTACATGAGAAAAATATTTTAACAACTATAAATATGTTAACAAGTATATAATATAAAAGCATGTAATTTATGACATCAATAACGTAAAGTGTGGGGGTGGAGCTGTATAGGAGGTGATTTTGTATGCAGTTGACGTTAAGTTGTTATCAGATTAAAAATAGAATGTGGGCTTCCCTGGTGGTGCAGTGGTTGAGAGTCTGCCTGCCGATGCAGGGGACACAGGTTCGTGCCCGGGTCTGGGAAGATCCCACATACCATGAAGCAGCTGGGCCCGTGAGCCATGGCCGCTGAGCCTGCGCGTCCAGAGCCTGTGCTCCGCAATGGGAGAGGCCACAACAGTGAGAGGCCCACGTACCACAAACAAAAACAAAAACAAAAACAAAACAAAACAAAAAAATAGAATGTAATATTTTATGTAATTGCAGTGGTAACTACAAAGAAAAATATATATGTGGAATATATACACAAGAACACAAGAAGGAAACCAAAGCATGTCACTACAAAAAAAACCCCAAAAAACACAAAGGAAGATAGTAAGAGAGGAAAGGAGGGACAAAAAGCTACAAGACATACGAAACAATAAACAAAATGGTAATAGTAAATCCTTCCCTGTCAGTAATTATTTTACATTTAAATAGACTAAATATCCCAATCAAAAGACATAAATTAGCTGAACTGATTTAAAAAAAAACACAGGATGCAATTATATTCTGTCTACAAGAGACTCACTTTAGATCTGAGGACATAGGCTGAAAACGAAAAGGTTGAAAAAATATTTCATGCAAATGGCATCCAAAAGAGCAGGGATGGCTATACTGTTTTGTAATCATACAAAATAGACTTTAAGTCAGAAATCATTGCAAGAGACAAAGACATTATATAAGAATAAAAGGTCAGTTCACCAAGAAGATATAACCATTATAAATATTTATGCATGAAACATCAGAGCAAACTTTGAATATAAATATGAAGCAAACTTTGAAAGAATGAAGGGAGAAATAGATAGCAACATAATCGTAAGAGACGTCATACTCCACTTTCAATAATAGATAGAACAATCAGACAGAAGATAAATAAGGAAACAAGACATGAACAACACTGTAGACCAATTGCACCTAACCGATGTGATCAGAATACTGCACCCAGCAACTGCAGAATAAATTCTTCTCAAATACACACAGAACATTCTGTAGGAAAGATCATATGTGAGGCCACAAAACAAGTCTCAACACACTTAAAAAGATTGAAATTATACAAAGTATATTTTCCAATCACAGTGGAATGAAACTAGAAGTCAACAGAAGGAAAACTGGAAAATCCACAAGTATGTGGAAATTAACACATTCTTAAACAACCACTGAGTCAAAGAGGTAGTCATAAGGGAAATCATAAAATACCTTGAGAAAGTTAAAATGAAAACAAGACATATTGCAGCACTATTTACAATAGCTAAGATGTGGAAGCAAGCTAAATTTCCATCAACAGATGAATGAATAAAGAAGATGTGGTGTATATATACACAATAAAATACTACTCAGCCATAAAAAATAATGAAATAATGCCATTTGCAGTAACATGGATGGACCTAGAGATTATCATACTAGGTGAAGTAAATCAGACAGAGAAAGATAACTATCATATAATATCGCTTACATGTGGAATCTGAAAAGAAAAAAAAAAAGGATACAAGTGAACTTATTTCAAAAACAGAGACTCACAGACATAGAAAACAAATTATGGTTACCAAAGGGGAAAAGGGGGTGGGGAGAGGGATAAATTAAGAGGTTGGGATTAACACATATACACTACTATATATAAAACAGATGAACAAGGACTTACTGTCTAGCACATGGAACTATACCCAGTGTTTTTTAATAACCTATAAGGAAAGAGAATCTGAAGAATATATATATATATATATATATATCTGAATTGCTGTGCTGTACATCTGAAACTAACATGATATTGTAAATCAACTATACTTCAGTAAGAAAATAAAAAATAATCTGTGAATAAAAACTTATGGGATGCAGCAATAGCAGTACTAACAGGGAAGTTTATAGCTATAAACACATATTAAAAAGAAAAATCTCAAATTAACAACCTAATTTTACGACTTAAGGAACTAGAAAAAGAAGACCCACCAAACCAAAGCTAGCAGATGGAAGGAAATAATAAAAACTAGAGAAGAGATAAATGTAATTGAGAATAGAAAAACAATAGGAAAAAAAGCAATGAAATTAAGAGCTGCTTTATTGACAAGCCTTAGCTAGATTAACTAAGAAAAAGAAGACAACTAAAATTGAAAGAGGGGACATTACAATTGATGTCACAGAAATAAGGAGGATATGAGAATATTATGAACAGTTGTATGCAAACAAACTGGATAACCTAGAAGAAATGGGTAAATTCCTAGAAACATACAACCTACTAATTTTTAAATTGTGAAGGCATGGAAATCTGAACAGACCAATAACTAGTTAGGAGATTGAATCAGTAATCAACCCTCCCAACAAAGAAAAGCCCAAGATGGGATGGCTTCATTGGTGAGTTATTCCAAATATTATATTTAAAGAAGAATCAACACTAATCCTCCTCAAACTCATACCAAAAAAAATGAAGAGGAAGGAACACTTCCAAGGTCATTCTATGATGCCACCATTATCCTGATACCAAAGCCAGACAAGGATACTACAAGAAAGGAAAACTAGAGACCAAATCCCTAGAAAACACTGATGCAAAAGTTCTCAACAAAATACTAGGAAACTGAATTCAGCAGCACATTAAAAGGATTATACATACCGTGACCATGTGGGATTTGTTCCTAGAACACAGAGATGGTTCAACATATGAAACTGATCAATGTAATACACCACATTAACAGAATGAAAGAAAAAAAATCACAGCATCATCTCAATTGATACAAAAGAGCATTTGACAAAATTCAACATACTTTCAAGATAAAAATAGTTAACAGACTAGAAATAGAAGAAAACTACCTGAACATAATGAAAACCATATATGAGAAACCCACAGTGAGCATTATGCTCAATTGTGAAAGACTTAAAGCTTTTCCTCTAAGATCAGGAAGAAGGCAAGGAAGCCCACTCTCAACACTTGTATTCAATATAGTACTGGAAGTTCTAACCAGAGCTATTAGACAAGAAAAAGAAATTTAAAAGTATCTGCATATAAAAGGAAGAAGTAAAATTATCTCTATGCACAGATGATATGATTTTTGTATGTAGAAAACTCTGAAGATTCTACAAAACAAAAACAAAAAAACCTGATTAGAACTAATAAAGGAATTCATCACAGAAGTCTCATTTTAATATGGATAAGCACTCTCCTCCATATCCAAATACATCCAACACTTCATCCTTTTATGAGCAAGGAGGACCAGTTGGGAGATGATGGAATAACTTTGTTCTTTGGTACATTCACAATGCATACTGTTTAAAACTGAAGACTGCCATGTACACTTTTGCACAAACTCTAGGAAGGAAATAGACGGTTGACCAAGTAGGTAAGGAGTCTGTCTGTACGTCTGTGTGTGTGGGATGGATGTGGGAGTATGGTCATGGTGCATGACTTTTCTTATGTAGGAAGATTAGGTAACTGATGACTGTTACATGGCAGCTCTTTAGTGAGGTATCATCTTTTTATTCCCTTAGGTATGGCTTTCAATTGATGGCGGCAACACCTTTGAATTAATAGCTGACTTTCATGATGATATCATAAAGAATACTTATCATAGTTTTTATACTTCAGCTATTACTTTTGTTTCCCAAAGTGGAAAGGTTTACTTGACAAAGGCAGGTGAGGAATTCACTTTTATTGGTATAAGCACTACCTGTGAGCCAGGGATTAGAAGATTTATTTTAAAATCTGCCATATTAATGAACTAATCCTAAGGTCACAGACCTATTAGGGGTGATGGATTTAAAACAAAATTTTACTGTAATGAAAATAAACATAACAAAATTTACCATCGTAACCATTTTTAAGTGTATAGTTCAGTGGTATTAAATACATGCAAATATTCTGCAAGTATCTCCAACATCCATCACCATAACTCTTTTCATCTTGAAACTCTATACCCTTTAAAAAATAAATGCCCACTTCCCTCTTCCCCACAGCCTCTCACAGCTACCATTCTACTTTCTGTCTCTATGATTTTGACTACTTTGGTGCCTCATATAAGTGGAATCATACAGTGTTTGTCCTTTTGTGACTAGATTATTTCACTTAGCATAATGTCCTCAAGGGTCATCCATGTAATAGCATATGTCAGAGTTTTCTTCATCATTAAGGCTGAATAATATTCAGTTGTATGGTATATATGACATTTTGCTTGTCCATTCATACATCAGTGGACAATTGGGTTGCTTCCATGTTTTAGCTATCGTGAATAGTGTTTCTATGAACATGGCTATACAGATATATCTTTGAGACCTGCTTTTATTTCTTTTGAGTATATACTCAGAAGTGGGATTGCTGGATCATATGATAATTCTATATTTAATTTTTTGAGGAACTGCAATACTGTACCATTACAGTACAATACACAGCACTGTACCATTTTACATTCTGACCCCCAGTGCAAAAGAGTTCCAGTTTCTCCACATCATTGCCAACCCTTGTTATTTTCTGGTCTTTTGATAGTAATCATCCTAATGGATGTGAAGTGGTTTTTCATTATAGTTTTGATCGCATTTCCCTAATTATTAGTGATGTTGAGCATCTTTTTATGTCCTTATTGGCCATTTTTTAATCTTCTTTGGAGAAATGTCTTTTCAAGTCCTTTACCTGTTTGTTAATCAGATTGCTTGCTTTTATTGTTGAGTTTTAAGAGTTTTCTATTTATTCTGCATATTAATCCCTTGTCAGATATATGATTTGCAAATATTTTCTCCCATTCTGTGGGTTACCCTTAACTAATTTGGTTATTTCTTAAGTAGTTTTTTGATGCTATTGTAAATGGAATTGTTTTCCTATTTTTGTCTTCTAATTATTCATGTTAGTGTACAGAAATGCGACTGATTTTTGAGTGATGATTTTATATCCTGCTATTTTGCTAAATTCCATTATTAGTTCTAATAGGTTTCTTTCTTTTTTTTTTTTTTTGTAGAAGCTTTAGGGATTTCTACATATAAGATCACATCATCTGTGAACAGAGATGATTTTACTACTTCCTTTTCAATTCTGATCTTTTAACTTCTTTCTCTTGCCTAATGGCTCTGGCTAGAACTTCCAGTACTATATTGAATTGAAGTGGTGAGAGTGGGCTTCCTTGCCTTGTTCCTGATCTTAGAGGAAAAGCTTTAAGTCTTTCACCCTTGAGTATAATGTTCACTGTGGGTTTCTCATATATGGTTTTCATTATGTTTAGTTAGTTTTCTTCTTTTTTTATAATTTTTATTGGAGTATAGTTGCTTTACAATATTGTATTAGTTTACACTGTACAGCAAGGTGAATCAGCTATACATATACATATATCCCCTCTTTTTTGGATTTCCTTCTCATTTAAGTCACCATAGAGCACTGAGTAGAGTTCCCTGTGCTATACAGTAGGTTCTCATTAGTTATCTATTTTATACATAGTCAATAGTGTATATATCTCAATCCCAACCTCCCAATTCATCCCAGTCACCACCCCCCATAGTTTTTTTCTATTTCTAGTCTGTTAAGTGTTTTATCATGAAAGTATGTTGAATTTTGTCATTTTGTCTTTTGTATCAGTTAAGATGATGTTGTGGGTTTTTTTCTTTCATTCTGTTAATGTGGTATACTACATTAATCAGTTTTCATATGTTGTTTGCATTCAGTGTTCCTTGCATTACAGGAATAAACCCTACTTAGTCATGATGAATAATCCTTTTAATGGACTGCTGAATTCTGTGTGCTAGTATTTTGTTGAGGATTTTTGCATCATTACTCATCAGGGATATTGGTCTATAGTTTTCTTTTTTCTGTTTTGATAGTGTTTTTGTTTGGCTTTGGTATCAGGATAACACTGGCTTCATGGAATGAGTTGGGAAATGTTCCCTCCTTTTCAATTTTTTGGAAAAGTTTGAGAAGGATCAGTATTAGCTCTTCTTTAAATGTTTTGTTGAATTCACCAGTGAAGCCATCAGGTCCAGGGCTTTTCTTTGTTGAGAGATTTTTTATTACTAATTCAATTTCCTTACTAGTTTCAGGTCTATTCAGATCTTCTATTTCTTCACGATTTACTTCGTCTGTTAGGGTTTTTTTTCTAGGAATTTTTCCATTTTATTTAGCTTATCCAATTTGCTGGTGTACAGTTGTTTATAATACTCTCTTATAATCCTTTATACTTCTGTAGAAGTAGCAGTAATGTTCTCACTTTCACTTCTGATTTTAGTAATTTGAGTCATCTTTCTTTTTTTCTCAGTTCATCTAGGTAAAGGTTTATTAATCTTTTCAAAGAATCAACTTTTGATTTTATTGATTTTCTGTCTTGTTTTTTGACTCTCTATTCCATTTATCTCTGCTCTAATCTTTATTATTTCCTTTTTCCTTGCTAGCTTTTGGTTTACTTTGTTCTTCTTTTTCTAGTTCCTTAAGTTTTAAAGTTAAATTGTTGATTTGAGAAATTTCTTGGTTTTTGTTTTAACAACTTTAATTGAGGTATAATTGACATATAACGTTATATTAGTTTTAGGTATACAACATAATGATTTTATATTTGTAGACATTGCAAAATGATTACCACAATAAGTCTGGTTAACATCCATCACCATACATAGTTACAGATTTTTTTTTCTTGTCATGAGAACTTTAAGATCTACTTTCTGAGCAACTTTCACATATGTAATACAGTATTATTAACTACAGTAACCATGCTGTACATTACAGGTATATGTAATTTTATTGTGCTTAGCTTTATTGCACTTTGCAGATATTGCTTTTTTTTTTTAACGAACTGAAGGTTTGTAGCAACCATCCATTTTCAGATGATGGTTAGCATTTTTCAGTGATAAAGTATTTTTAAATTAAGGTATATACATTGTTTTAAAGGCATAATACTATTACACCCTTAATAGACTACAGTCTAGTGTAAACATAACTTTTATATACACTGGGAAACCAAAAAATTCATGTGACTTGCTTTATTGCAATGTTTGCTTTATTGTGTTGGCCTAGAAACAAACTTGCAGTATCTCCTAGGTATTCCTGTACATCTCCATGACTTATTTATTTTATAGTTGGAAGTTTATACTTTTTGGCTCCCTTCACTCATTTCTTCCTCTCACTGTTGTGGCCTCTCCCGTTGCGGAGCACAGGCTCCAGACGCGTAGGCTCAGCCGCCATGGCTCACGGGCCCAGCCGCTCCACGGCATGTGGGATCCTCCCATACCGGGGCACGAACCTGTGTCCCCTGCATCGGCAGGCGGACTCTCAACCACTGCGCCACCAGGGAAGCTCTCTTCCTTATTATTAATGTAAATATTTAGAGTAATAAATCTCCCCCTTAACACCACTTTCACTTCATCCCATAAGTTTTGGTATATTGTGTTTTCATTTTCATTTGTCTGTAGGTATTTTACAATTTCCCTTGTGATTTCTTCTTTGGTAGGTTGCTAGTTCAAATGAGTGTTGTTTAGTTTCCACAATTTTGTGAATTTCCAGTTTTCTTTGTTATTAATTTTTAACTTCATCTCCTTGTGATCAGAGGAGATACTTTGTGTGATATTTATCTTTTTAAGTCTGTTGAAACTTAATTTGTGGTATAACATATGGTCTGTCCTGGAAATTGTTCCATATGCCCTTAAGAAGTGTATGTACTGTTGTTGGGTGGAATGTTCTGTGTATGTCTATTAGATCCAGTTGGCTTACTGCACTGTTTAAGTACTTGATGTCCTTACCTATCTTCTGTCCGGT